TATGTGATGAGCTCCAGAAAACATCCACAATGATCTGAGGGAAGGGAGGAATGGCACAAAGACGTTGAACTTGTGATAAACAAGAGTATGTGATGAGCTCCAGGAAACATTCACTATGATCTGAGGGAAGGAAGGAATGGCACAAAGATGTTGAACTTGTGACAAACAAGAGTATGTGATGAGCTCCAGAAAACATTCACTATGATCTGAGGGAAGGGAGGAATGGCACAAGGATGTTGAACTTGTGACAAACAAGAGTATGTGATGAGCTCCAGGAAACATTCACAATGATCAGAGGGAAGGGAGGAATGACCAAAGACCTTGAACTTGTGATAAACAAGAGTATGTGATGAGCTCCAGGAAACATTCACAATGATCTGAGGGAAGGGAGATATGGCACAAAGACGTTGAACTTGTGATAAACAAGGGTATGTGATGAGCTCCAGAAAACATCCACATTGATCTGAGGGAAGGGAGGAATGGCGCAAAGACCTTGAACTTGTGATAAACAAGAGTATGTGATGAGCTCCAGGAAACATTCACTATGATCTGAGGGAAGGGAGGAATGGCACAAAGACGTTGAACTTGTGATAAACAAGAGCATCTGATGAGCTCCAGGAAACATTCACAATGATCTGAGGGAAGGGAGATATGGCACAAAGATGTTGAACTTGTGATAAACAAGGGTATGTGATGAGCTCCAGAAAACATCCACAATGATCTGAGGGAAGGGAGGAATGGCGCAAAGACCTTGAACTTGTGACAAACAAGAGTATGTGATGAGCTCCAGGAAACATTCACTATGATCTGAGGGAAGGGAGGAAACGCACAAAGACGTTGAACTTGTGATATACAAGGGTATGTGATGAGCTCCAGAAAACATCCACAATGATCTGAGGGAAGGGAGGAATGGTGCAAAGACCTTGAACTTGTGATAAACAAGAGTATGTGATGAGCTCCAGAAAACATTCACTATGATCTGAGGGAAGGGAGGAATGGCACAAAGATGTTGAACTTGTGATAAAAAAGAGTATCTGATGAGCTCCAGGAAACATCCACAATGATCTGAGGGAAGGGAGGAATGGCACAAAGACGTTGAACTTGTGACAAACAAGAGTATGTGATGAGCTCCAGAAAACATCCACAATGATCTGAGGGAAGGGAGGAATGGCGCAAAGACCTTGAACTTGTGATAAACAAGAGTATGTGATGAGCTCCAGAAAACATTCACTATGATCTGATGGAAGGGAGGAATGGCACAAAGATGTTGAACTTGTGATAAAAAAGAGTATCTGATGAGCTCCAGGAAACATTCACTATGATCTGAGGGAAGGGAGGAATGACGCAAAGACGTTGAACTTGTGACAAACAAGAGTATGTGATGAGCTGTAATAATCATTCACTATGATCTGAGGGAAGGGAGGAATGGCACAAAGACGTTGAACTTGAAATAAACAAGAGTGTCTGATGAGCTGCAGAAAACATTCACTATGATACGTTGAACTTGTGATAAACAAGAGTGTGTGATGAGCTGCAGAAAACATTCACAATGATCTGAGGGAAGGGAGGAATGACACAAAGATGTTGAACTTGTGATAAACAAGGGTATGTGATGAGCTCAAGAAAACATTCACAATGATCTGAGGGAAGGGAGGAATGGCACAAAGACGTTGAACTTGTGATAAACAAGAGTGTGTGATGAGCTCCAGAAAACATTCACTATGATCTGAGGGAAGGGAGGAATGACACAAAGATGTTGAACTTGTGATAAACAAGAGTATGTGATGAGCTCCAGAAAACATTCACTATGATATGAGGGAAGGGAGGAATGGCACAAAGACATGGAACTTGTGACAAACAAGAGTATGTGATGAGCTCCAGGAAACATTCACAATGATCTGAGGGAAGGGAGGAATGGCACAAAGACCTTGAACTTGTGACAAACAAGAGTATGTGATGAGCTCCAGGAAACATTCACAATGATCTGAGGGAAGGGAGGAATGGCACAAAGATGTTGAACTTGTGACAAACAAGAGTATGTGATGAGCTCCAGAAAACATTCACTATGATATGAGGGAAGGGAGGAATGGCACAAAGACATGGAACTTGTGACAAACAAGAGTGTGTGATGAGCTCCAGAAAACATTCACAATGATATGAGGGAAGGGAGGAATGGCACAAAGACATTGAACTTGTGACAAACAAGAGTATGTGATGAGCTCCAGGAAACATTCACAATGATCTGAGGGAAGGGAGGAATGGCACAAAGATGTTGAACTTGTGACAAACAAGAGTATGTGATGAGCTCCAGAAAACATTCACTATGATCTGTGGGAAGGGAGGAATGGCACAAAGACCTTGAACTTGTGACAAACAAGAGTATGTGATGAGCTCCAGGAAACTGTGAAGATGCTGGTCACTGGACCCTAACACAGCTGGCCTACTAGTCTGTGAGATGCTAGTCACAAGACCCCAACACAGCTGGCTAACTAGTCTGTGAGGATGCTAGTCACCAGACCCTAACCCAGCTGGCCAACTAGTTTCTACTGTTGAAACCTGACTTGTCTTTCATGAGGGAGACCCAGTACCAAAATTTGGTAGAACACCTATAAATATTATTTGGGTTATCATACAGAATTTCTATTGTGTCTATGATCAGATGTGCTATGAAAACACATCTGTGATGTTATTCTATTGTTTAAAGGGGCACTGATCTAACGCAATTCCCCGGACTGGTTGCTGCCTTTGTTATTGTTTTTTCCCAGTGAGTACCCGGATGATACGCAACGCAATTGAGCGTGACCAGAGACTGGGCTACCGTCTGCAAGGACAGCTAAATGAACTTGGAGGCTGGAGGCAATATTTGTTTTACGCATTTTTGCATAAACACTGATTGGTTAACTGTGATCTTTAAAGATTTCGACAAAGGGCGCATGTTAATTAATTTTTTCAGCCTAAACAAAGAGACAAAAAGAACGACGGAGCTCATCGGATGTTGTAATTTGGAAATACCCCAGATGGTTATAGTTTAATACTAAAAAAAGTATCCATGCAGTGAAAGCATTTTCGGGTTTTGGATTGCGTCGATAATACGATTACTACTCCCTTGTTGTCATCCACGTTTTCTCGTCTAACCACTTAGATTACCTGACAAAGGTTCCCATTTGGCATTTATTGTGTCTGGGGTAATTATTCAATCTAAATCCAGGTTTGAAGTGAGGTGAAATGTGTGTTATGTAATATGCACGTGGCAGCCATGCAAGAGATGAATGATCAGTTCATTTACTTTTTTTTGTAAATCAACGGATCGTTCCTGGTCATCAAAGGATTAACAGAAAATACGTTGATTGATTAATCACTGTTATCTTGCACAGTGGATATGTCAAAAGGGAGTGTTTACATGTCTAGGTTTACTAAAACAAAGGGAATACACTCATATCATGGCGTGAAGTGCCGATGTAAAAACAACATACTTTGTTCAAAGGGTTTACTGATAATACGTTGATCATTGTTATCTATCACTCAATGGAACCGTGGACGTTATGAAAATAGTTGTCACGTGGGCTTTCTCAGCCAACCCTTGAGACTTGACACCTATGTGAAACACCTAAAACAATCCAAGTGATCAGTTGAGAAACGAACACAGGTTATAATATCCCGAAACGATATATATCTTTTAAAATATTTGATTGTTACAGAGACACGTGACATCGAATAAGTTTCTTTGTACAGCTGCAGACGAGTGGGATATTGTTCCTTTGTGTGGATATTCATGGATACATTCCTCGAACAAGGAAGCTGCCTAAAATTTATACACATAAATTTGGTGGGTTGTAATTATGGTATTTGCATTTTGTTTTCCTTCATTTGAACCGATTCGTTCTTGTTTCTCTACGTCTTGGTTGGGAAATTCTTCAATGCGCGATATACGTTGTTTTCACCGGTCTTTTCCTTTGTAAGCGTGTATATATTACCGTCAATTTGTAAAATTTGATTCTCTCAGGCAATTTATAAAATGTGTAAATATTTCAGCCATTTTGACTAAGAAATCTGTCCAGATTGATTTAGAGGATCAAAAGGGCCTACAAACATCACAACAGATTATTATGTAGGATTAGAAGCCAAACAGCATAGAAATGTACTTTTCAACAAAATGTTTTTAAGTCACTTTGTAAAATATTTAGATGTTTAATAAATATGTTACACATTTTGACCGTAAAAAAATATGCACACTATAAAAAAGCAATGCTTAGATGAAATATTTACTTCGTGTTGCAAGTAAAAATAGTGTAAACTAAAATCGCAAAATTACCAAGCAAGTGACTTATCAAAACTTCGTCACCATTATCAATGCCACCCCCAAAGATACCTACATTTCCTTATTATCTCGAAAACTGTATTTCATTTTGTTGATCAATGTGACCATACGCCCTTATTACTACCGGTATCCATAAAAGTGACTAATGCGCTTACGAAAGGCGCAGCAGAGGTCGTGAACTAGTCTAGATTTCTGCTATACATCCGGGTACTCACTGGGAAAAACAATAACAAAGGCAACAACCAGTCCCGGGGAATTGCGTTAGATCAGTGCCCCTTTAAACATTTGGCATTTTTTTAAGAATGGAGAGTCAGTTGTCATTTACTGAAGAAAATTATTTCTTGGCCTAATACTGAAGTAAATGATTGGCAATGATGCCAGCTGAGCTCAGACCTGCATTATATGATTTGAAGACGAGTGACGGGCAACCTCATTTACAATAACAAGACAAAATGCAAATATGTTGTGTTACATGATGTTAACTATAACAATATTCATGTTAAATTAATTAGGAACCCTTCTACTCAGGGGAAAAGGAAACATGTATGTACAAACAAGTCTGATTTCAATTTGTTAAATACTAAGGTGTGAATGTATTTGGGAATGCTGTCTCCATTATACCTAAGAAAGCAAGAGTTACTTGGACATTCTCCATGTTCTCCGAAACACACTCCATACTTACCGAAATCGAACTTTTATCTGTAAACTTTTGTCTTTCAGAAACACTGCCTCTTTCGGGCACACCTTACGAAGAATTTCATGTGACAGCGAATTCTCCTGTTGAAAATTGTATCACACAATAAATTTACATACATGTCAATGAATTATAGGTTATAAGACATTTGTCAAAATCATCAAACATACAGCAAGGATTCTCAAGGAGCAAGTTTGTCTTCTGAATAAACTATTACAACATAAACACATGTGTTGGGACTTTTATTAAGATTCTCAATCTGTGGCATACATGTTTTTCTTCTCCTGGGTATATAACAGCTAGCCTACTAGGCTGTGAAGATGCTAGTCACTAGACCCCAACACAGCTGGCTAACTAGTCTGTGAAAATGCTAGTCACCAGACCCTAACACAGCTGGCCTACTAGTCTGTGAAAATGCTAGTCACCAGACCCTAACACAGCTGGCCTACTAGTCTGTGAGATGCTAGTCACAAGACCCCAACACAGCTGGCCTACTAGTCTGTGAAGAAGCTAGTCACTAGACCCCACACAGCTGGCCTACTAGTCTGTGAAGATGCTAGTCACTAGACCCCAACACAGCCAGCCTACTAGTCTGTGAAGATGCTAGTCACTACACCCAAACACAACTGGCCTACTAGTCTGTGAAGATGCTAGTCACTAGAACCCAACACGGCTAGCTAACTAGTCTGTGAAGATGCTAGTCACAAGACCCTAACACAGCTGGCTAACTAGTCTGTGAAGATGCTAGTCACTAGACACCAACATAGCTGGCCTACTAGTTTGTGAAAATGCTAGTCACTAGACCCCAACACAGCTGGCTTGCTAGTCTATGAAAATGCTAGTCACTAGACCCCAACATAGCTGGCCTACTAGTCTGTGAATATGCTAGTCACCAGACCCCAACACAGCTGGCTTACTGGGCTGTGGAGACGCTAGTCACCAGACCCTAACACAGCTGGCCTACTAGTCTGTGAAAATGCTAGTCACCAGACCCTAACACAGCTAGCCCACTAGTCTGTGAAGATGCTAGTCACCAGAGCCTAACACAGCTGGCCTACTAGTCTGTGAAGATGCTAGTCACCAGACCCTAACACAGCTGGCCTACTAGTCTGTGAAAATGCTAGTCACCAGACCCTAACACAGCTGGCTTACTAGTCAGTGAAGATGCTAGTCACTTGACCCCAACACAGCTGGCCTACTAGTCTGTGAAGAGGCTAGTCACTAGACCCCACACAGCTGGCCTACTAGTCTGTGAAGATGCTAGTCACTAGACCCCAACACAGCCAGCCTACTAGTCTGTGAAGCTGCTAGTCACTAGACCCTAACACAGCTGGCCTTACTAGTCTGTGAAGATGCTAGTCACCAGACCCTAACACAGCTAGCCTACTAGTCTGTGAAGATGCTAGTCACAAGACCCCAACACAGCTAGCCTACTAGTCTGTTAAGATGCTAGTCACCAGACCCTAACACAGCTGGCCTACTAGTCTGTGAAGATGCTAGTCACCAGACCCTAACACAGCTGGCCTACTAGTCTGTGAAAATGCTAGCCACAAGACCCCACCAAGCCAGCCTACTAGTCTGTGAAGATGCTAGTCACTAGACCCTAACACAGCTGGCCTACTAGTCTGTGAGATGCCAGTCACTAGACCCCAACACAGCTGGCTTGCTAGTCTGTGAAAATGCTAGTCACTACACACCAACACAGTTGGCTTTCTAGTCTATGAAGATGCTAGTCACTAGACCCCAACACAGCTAGCATACTAGTCTGTGAAAATGCTAGTCACCAGACCCCAACACAGCTGGCCTACTAGTCTGTGAAGATGCTAGTCATTAGACCCCAACACAGCTAGCCAGCTAGGATGTGAAGATGCTTGTCACTAGACCCTAACACAGCTGGCCTACTAGTCTGTGAAGATGCTAGTCACCAGACCGTAACACAGCTGGCCTACTAGTCTGTGAAGATGCTAGTCACCAGACTCTCACACAGCTGGCATTCTAGTCTGAAGATGCTAGTCACCAGACCCCAACACAGCTGGCTTACTGGGCTGTGGAGACGCTAGTCACCAGACCCTAACACAGCTAGCCCACTAGTCTGTGAAGATGCTAGTCACCAGAGCCTAACACAGCTGGCCTACTAGTCTGTGAAGATGCTAGTCACCAGACCCTAACACAGCTGGCCTACTAGTCTGTGAAGATGCTAGTCATCAGACCCTAACACAGCTGGCTTACTAGTCGGTGAAGATGCTAGTCACTTGACCCCAACACAGCTGGCCTACTAGTCTGTGAAGATTTTCAAGATTTCCAGAGAATGTTGTTGCATACTAACTGCTGCACAGATGGAGTGCTTGAGGAGACAAAACATCTGCCTGTCTCGAAAGGCGATCCATGCTCGCTCTATTATAGATGCTGCTGCCTGTCGAATTAACCTGAAAGCAAACAATTGGCATTAATAATGTCCATAATGCATTTCTAACATTTGGAAGAGAATTTACATTTATCTCAAAATATCACACTGCTTCAGGCCATACACAATTCTAAAATTTGACTATCGTTCCCATGCACCTCACTAACTTACACTCTGTCCCACCTCATAATTTCATTGCCCGAAGTACAGTGTTTCAGTTCTAGAAAATTACCATGAGCTGCATGGCAGTACAAACAATAATACAGCATAGAGTCCTATCAAAACATTTGTGCTATATTCATCATGTTGTAGAGGTTAACCATGATCAGATGTCCTTCATAGTCAGTCACCTCAATATACATGGTAAAAAATAGAGGATATTCTATTCGTGTTCATGTCATACTATGTTTACGACACGAAGAAGATGTCTACATACAGACGAATTTTAGTGTTTACACTACAGCAAGTCACAACAGCAGCGGAACCACAATTCGTTGAATGACATCAACAATCTCCAGCTATAACATTGTTTCTAGTGTGACGTCATTCCGACCTCACGTCACAATTGGGTTCAAATGACGCCAACAATGCCGTCCGGATGACGGAAACAATACACTGTTGTCTCGTGATGTGATATGACCCTAGGGCACATATGACTTTTATGAACCCTGATATGTTTGCCCTCGTAGTTAGTAAAGAATGTTATGAATGCCTTGTACCTGATCAGTCACAACAATACATTGTTAAGCAGGGTGTGTTTACTTAAGAATTTGGCCCTCACTCTATGAAGGTTCATTCTCCAATGAACTGACACAAAGTGAAAGTCAGTTCTTAAAATTTTATGTATTGATATTTTTACATCAAGGACATAGACCTTGATCTATATCCAATTATAGTTAGTATGTGTGACTTCATGTTTTACACTGACAGCCATACAACAACCAGTTGTATCTCGGAATAAAATAGTTCCTCAAAATGAGAGGTGACATGAGCTTATGTATGCTCAACCACAGGACCATGTAACTAATTATAACAATAAAAATAAAAAAAGTCGCAAAAATATCATAGACGAGGCCAAAGGCCTTTGGCCTCGTCTACGACTTTTTTTGTTGTTGTTGTTATAATTAGTTACATGGTCCTGTGGCTCAACATGCTCAACAGGGACAACTTTTGTAGTTTCTTCAGAACAAATGTACTCAAATATTATCCTCATTAGATGAGCAAGGTCTGTTAACAACTACCTCAGTTAGCCAGTCACAATGACAGCGCGTCATAATACATTTAAAACAAGTACAAGATGTCAAAATGGCCATTTTTATTTGTGCTAGGGAATTCCCAGGGATTTCTCCAGGAATGTGGAAGTAGTCTGTCAGTGTTTATGTCATTTAAAGAACACAGTCTTGTGAAAACCGTACAAACGTCAAATTATGTCGTTCATACATGTATGAACATCAATTTCGTGTTCATGTGACCGCCCTCTCGTCCAATAGAAAGGCCATATATCATGTAAACTTCAAATTAAAAAATTACAATAATATGTTTAATCATGCAGTTAATTTCAAGAAAGACAAATTATGTTAATAACTAGATCGTGGAGATTAGATAGTTTACAGGCATATCTGTTTCTATCAAAAGAATTTAATTGTATGCAATTTTCACCCAGGCAAACATTTTGATAGTTGACTATTGTTGGATGCAGGAATGAACCCTTCAGAACTTTAAATGGATCCGATGGTAGAAACGTATCTCCCCACATGCCAAAATTAGATTGTTAAACTATGTAAACTAGATATTTACCAATGAGCAAATACCCACAACAGAGATTTTGTTTCTGTGTCTCATAAATTAATCTACATCATAAAACTTTTCTTAGTGTTATGCAGAGCTCCAGATGAGATGTCGCTTGTGTACAAATACTCTATTTAAAAAATATAACAGTATGACAGCATTCTGAGTAATTACTCAATGTATCCATTTCAACTTGCATACCTACACTTCTTTACAGGTGTTTATCTACTGATCGAATGCAGCCATCACACATACTGCAGTAGGAAAAACAGGTGTTATGTGTCACTTATTATCACCTGGACATGTTACATACTTGGGGCAACATCTTAACAGATACAAATAAGATGTCACCTTCTGTCATGTTATATATAGGTGTGACAGAGTACCTCCCTTTAGTCATTCATGTAGTTTTTGTTTTAGTGGCAGTTGACAAGTGACGTGTGGATTAGCGCCATTAGTTCCGACCATGTCGTCCGTTTACATCAGCCGTCAGAGGCCCTGTTACGTTAGGCTAATACTGATTGTCACTCAGCTAAGCAAACAGAGATTCTCGCTGATTTACTTAGTATAACCTCAGGTCTTGCACATTTAATAATGAATAAAACAAATATATGTTTGAAGGTTTTGCAAGGTGGATAATATGGATATCAGTTAAGACAAAATATTTTATGGATGAAAACTTCTTTGTTCTATCATGATGTATAGATCCTTATACCGTTGTCAAGTCAGAGTACTATAACAAAATCATGACAAGTGAAATTGACCATTCTCCACCTAAAATATGAGGAACATGCTCTGTTCATGATTCCCGGAAACGGAGTTTGAAGCTGGTGTTTGAGTTGGTGTAATCAGATAGGACAAGTACGTAAGCCACAAGTAAATCATAGAAGGCCTCAAATCAACCTCCTCTCTTTCTTATTTATACCTCACGAAACTTATTGAATGATCAAGACTGTCCTATTGTGAACCCTGAGCTCCCACAGTAATAGCCAGTTCGCGGAGCTCTCCAAATTACACTGAAGATGTCACATACTCAGACCTGTCAACCCCTCATCATGACAATAGGGCAGTTTTGATTTTAAAATGGGGGAGATTTAAAAAAAAAAGTGAAGATAAGAAGATAATTTACTTTTATTTTTATTAATTTTATAAAGACAACAAAATAATTTAAAACAATAACAATAATTTTCTTGTGCGTACAGCTAGCCTTATTCCCGTTTGTATTTTCCTCTTCCAAGAATAAACAGAGCACATTATCATACCTCCATGTCAGAATGACGAGATCGGATTGGTCAACGTGATCTTGATAAAATACTTTATCATACCTCCATGTCAGAATGATGAAATTTGATTGGTCCATGTGATCTTGATAAAATACTTTATCCTACCTCCATGTCAAAATGATGAGATCTGATTGGTCAGTGTGATTTTGATAAAATTCTGTGTAACCTGCCTTGGAGGGTAATAAATTTCTCAGCGGAAGAATAAATCTCTCATACTCCGACACAAGCAATACAGGCTGCACATGGATTTCTGAGAGACTCCGCTGCAAAGCCAAAAGCTGCATGCTTTTTCAGAGTCAAAAACAGTCACGTGACATAGAACAAGTTAACCTCAGCTTAATCGAACAGCTGTCTTCTATCAATTTTGAATTTGTGTTAATTATTTTACAATGTCACATTAAAACATGTCGGTAACATAAATTCGTTGCACCAGGATCTATAATCTATCTATATCACTTTCATTCATCATCAGATAAACGCGAACATATTGAAAACAAACGATAGATAGCTTGACCAGTTGACGACGTGTTCAAGCCGACCAATTGTCAGGGTTCGTCATGATGCATTTTTCCTGAGTATTTTGCGCAATTTTGGTTACAAAATATGCCAAAGAATATCAAGTGCATTTATTTTGATGCAACATGATTACCCCTAGTCTCATTAAGATATATTGCTTATTCTGTCTGCGGTAGTCTGTTGATAGTTCAATTACTTCATTCATAAATTTCCTAGAAATGTTCGTGTTATTCCATTTCCAAGAAAAGTATGTAAAATTTGTCAATGAATTGAGCTTGGGAGTCGTCATTGATCATTCTGACCTTGACATGTATTAATCTCATTGGTTGACAAGTACTGTTGTATGCAAATTAGATTGCTCATCTTGGACACTAGCAAACTATTATCTAATCAATTTGAGTAAAATAATCACATGATACATTCTTGCAAATTTGATACAGTTCTGCGTGTTGATATTTTTGTGCAGACTTTGACTTTAAAACCCTAGCTGTAAGGAACCCTGATTGTTTAACTCATTGTCATTTGGACTTCCAAATCAACCAATCGCACATTCTGTTGTTTCTGGAGATGGTGCTTGCTGGTCATATTCCCGAGAGTTTAATGGCGTAACTGTGAGGTAAATTGATGTTTTGACAAAGTTTCTGACAAATCTGATAACCAATAAAGTCATGAAAACTGGGCCAGCCATAAGTTATTTAATTATGGAAGAATAAACTTGCTAAGAACATGAAGACAACAGTTCATTTCAGGAAGTGATAGGTACTCGGCTGATTATTCATTTTAAGTTCAACCCTTCAGGCACCTGTTAGGACTATCCAAGTTTTCTTTACAGTTTACATTGTTAAATCGTTTACCACATGGATATAATTACCAGTTGATCACTAGACAAAGGCACATCCACATCCCCTGGCAGGTGACCTTGATAAGGGTCACTAATCCGGGAACCTCCCACACAGTTTGGGAGTTATCACATGCATGTATGCATACAGAGTCATTCGGAAAAGTTACTTGTAGATTTCCGAAAACGTTTGAGCATTTGACTTTCTGCAACTAACAATCGTCAGAAACAGATGTATAATATCTACTACCACATAGCAATGGTGTTATGTTTCTGTACAGCACCTCTTTCAATAATGATCCCGCCCAAAAATCTACCTGCTAGCAGTGGCAGTTTGTGTTGAAAACATTCAGGCTCTAAACATAACTCATAAGAAAACTAGTAATTATACAAGCCTATTGGTATTAACTTTTGATAACAGCATGCCCTCTGGTATTTTTGCTATCCATGGACTATCAATCCAGCAATCAGATCTAGCACTGCCATAATCCCTTCATTATTACGGTAGTCCAAATTGTTTCATTAGTATCCCACATTGAAGTACTGATAAACTGCATCTAATGCCATATGCTCCTCGCACTTTTGATGGGGGATATTAATCCATCAAATGGCATTGTGAGTATAGTCCATATCTAGAAATTAGAATATGGGGGAATAGAACATCTAAGAACAAAATGTCTTTCCACTGGATTAACTCACTTTTAATGGAGAAATCAATATCAATAAAATCAATCAAGACCTTTGCGTATAGAAAATTGTATGAAGTTACAGAAGTTTTAGATGTCTAAAGTATGACAAGTCAAAACCAACTTACTCTCTCTGATTATGTGCTCCATGTCGGAGGCTCCGGATTGGGGATGGGGACAGTGTTTTGGCACTTGTTGGTGTAGGGGCTGGCCGAGTGTGTACAAACTCTCTACCCTCTAGAGATACTGAAAACTTGCTTTCGTGGGATTTGGGAGTCAGTGGTGTCAGTTTCCCTTCACCAGTTGAGGCTCGATCTGGACTTCTACTTTTGTGGTATCCATCACCAGAACTGGCAGAAGGCAACTTGACACTGATGGATGTGCGACTGGTCCTGCTCACACTCTTCGGTTCACTTCGTCTTGATTCAGGACTTTCAGACATCCTTCTAGGACAAGAAGACCTAAACACGTCAAACAAGAAAAAACATCTATTTGAAGGCTCCAGTTTTATAATTAAAACGGCGGGTAAGAACTGTCCTAGGAGTCTAAGGGGTTACACCATTCCTATGCATTCTAAATGACAGGTGTGTGAAATAGCATCGGATTCATTAATAAGTGTCCTTAGACTAAAGACATGACAGACACCATACCTACCCGTAACCTTCCTTCGTAAGTGTTTATCACCTATTCAACCCTTTGGGTTCATTTCCGTAACATCTTAGGCATGACTAGATAAATCAACACATAGTTTAACAGTGCTGATATAGCTCAGTTGGTTGGCTGTCAGCCTCACAATCCAAAGGTCTTGATTTTGCATCTGACGGATTCTCACAAAGACTGGTTGCTTGTCTTTGCGACATGTGTACTATGGCAGAGATAGTCTTCACAAGAAGTTGTGGTGCTGTATTCAAAAGGTGCTCCATACAATGGATGACATCACATGCTTATGAGTTAAATGAGCTTGCCTGTGGCAAAAAAATTATTGCAGGTGATTCTGCGCCATCTGATTGGCTACCCAAGCAATTCTTTTGATTCTATGTTTCAACAAACCAAAAACAAATTAGGCCATGCCCGCTAATGGAAATACTGTTTCCTGATTGGCTGATAATAGATCGGGTAGGGCTTTTGCTGCATTATTGTCACTGATTTTGTTTTGTTGTCTGCAGTTGTTTTTTTTGTTAATGATTAATAGAGGGCAAGTAAACGAAAAAGTCAATTTCCATTAGTACAAACACCATAGTGGACCGGCGGATGCCTGTAATACCAGGATAACGATTTGATGCAAAAATACACAATAGATACGTTTTTGTTTCACACTCAAATTTACACAATTCATAGTCCATCTTCTTTTTTGGGTGGCATCACACTACTTGGGTTGTGATCACAGTATTATACTGCTCAATCTGCAGTGTTAATGGTGGTCAGGCATCCTCTTTGGGAACACATCCAATGAATTGAGGTTTGATGTCTGGTCTTAAACATGAACTTTGGTCAAAACCAAGTGCCGCCCCTCTTAGAAAAAAAAATGTAAATCAGCCTGCACATTTGCCACAGAGGAATACTGTTTTTTGTCTGTAAATCCTTTGATAGCTCAAATCATACTAATGTTTTCATTCTTTTCCTTCTTTATTCATATAAGCAGGTACAGCATATATATACATGTCATGTCAATAAAATTGTGGTACATGGTATTCAAGAAGTGTACAGCTATTCATACATACAAATTCTTGCCCATCAAGTCAAAGTGTATGTATTGCTATGTATTGCAGATTGGTTTTGAAACAAGTTGGGAAGGAAGACCAGAAACTTAAAAAGTTTGCATAGTTACAATTTGTAAATGACATTACCTTTGTAACATTGTAATAACTAATTATCTCATGCTGTACATTACTTGTTTTGTTATTAAAAGTACAATATTCAATGGGTTGTTATTTTTGCCTTGAAATTGAAGCAAAACATTTACTCTGTTCAAATCAACAATGATCAATGGTTCCTTCCACAACAGTTTTTATCCAAATGCACAGTTTCTCCCAAATCTTTCTTACATGTTCACAATCATATAACATATGGATTATAATTTAAAGGGGCACTGATCTGAAGCAATTCCCCGGAACTGGTTGTTGCCTTTGTTATTGTTTTTTACCCTTGAGTACCCTGATGACATAGTAGAAATCTAGACCAGTTCGCAATCCTGTGCTGCGCAATTCGTAAGCGCATTTGTCATTTTTATTGATAGTATAAGGGCGCATGGTCACATTGATCAACAAAATGGAATACAGTCATGGAAGTAATAAGGAAATGAAGGTATCTTTGTGGGTTGCATCGGTAATGGTGACAAAGTTTTGATAAGTCACATGCTTGGTAATTGTGTGATTTTCGTTGACACTATTTTGACTTGCAACACAAAGTAAATATTCCACCTGAGCATTGCTTATTTTATCGTGTTTATATCTGTACAGTCAAAATGTGCAAAATTTTCACTTAGGAAATTTATTAAACGCAAAAATATTCAGTTATTTTACAAATAGACTGAAAAATATGTCCATCTGTATTATTATGATAACAAATTCCAAACATTTTTATGTTTAATATCATCACCAAGTGACTGAAAATGTTAGGGTCAAAGTTCATTTGTATATTGTTTGGCTTCTAATTCTAGCATAATTAATCTATTGTGATAATTTTTAGTCAATCTGTTAAATAAATGGAAATATTTTTCAGCCATTTTACACATTGACTGTAACATATACATGTTTACAAAGGAAAAGACTTGTGAAAACAACGTCTATCGTGCATCGAAGAACTTCCAAACCAAGACGTTGAGAAACAAGAATTATTCTGTTCAATGCTACAGCAAATGAATGAAAACAAAATGCAAATATCATAATTACAACCTACCAAAGTTATATGCATAAATTTAGGCAGCTGCCTTGTTTGAGGAATTTAACTGTGAATATCCACATAAAGGAACAATATCCCACACGTCTGCAGCTGTACAAAGAAACCTATTCGATGTCACGTGTCTCTGTAACAATCAAATATTTTAAAATATTGTTTCGGGTTAATAAAACCCATGTTCATTTCTCAACTGATCACTTAGTTTGTTTCAGTTGTTTCACATAGGTGTCAAGTCTCGAAGGTCAGCTGAGAAAGCCCACGTGACAACTATTTTGATAATGTCCATGGTTCTTAAAAAAATTCCATTGAGTTAGATAACAATGAGCAATCAATCAACGTATTATCGGTTAACCATTTGAACAAAGTATGGTGTTTTTACATCGGCACTTCACGCCATCATATGAGTGTATTCCATTTGCTTTTGTAAACCTAAACATGTAAACACTTACTTTTGACATATCCACTGTGCAAGATAACAGTGATTAATCAATCAATGTATTTTCTGTTGATCCTTTGATGGCTAGGAATGATCCATTGATTTACAAAAAAGTAAATCAACTGATCATTCATCTCTTGCTGGGCTGCCACGTGCAAATTACATAACACACATTTTACCTCACTCCAAACTTGGATTTAGATTGAATAATTACCCCAGACACAAGAAATTCCAAATGGGAACCTTTATCTGGTAATCTGAGTGGTGCTACCACTAATTATACCTGTAATAAATTCATTAACTGAGCATTAAGTGAATGACGACAAATGCACAAGTGTAGGGTCATACCAGAAAACATGGATGACAACAAGGGAGTAGAAATCCTATTATCAACGCAATCCGAAATCTGAAAATGCTTTCACTGCAGGGATACTTTTTTTATGATTAAACTATAACCATCAGGGGTATTTAAAAAACAACAACATCCGATGAGCTTCCATCGTTCTTTTTGTCTGTTTGTTTAGTCTGAAGAAATTAATTAACATGAGCCCTTTGTCGAAATCTTCATACATCACAGGTAACCAATCAGTGTTAGTAGTATAGGGACAGTACTGTGGTGCGTCAGCCAGAAGGAGTTATCTCCCCCTACCGAAAGTGCCGCCATCTTAGATTTGCGAAGATGGGCATTCTGGGTCATGCATGCGCATCCAAGAAGGCGTCACGTCCATTTCCGGGAGGGCGTGCGCATGCCTTCAAGATGGCATCACATCCGGTTCCGGGGAGGCGTGCGCCTACAAGATGGCGCCACATCCGGTTCCGGAGAGGAGGAGGAGGACAAAAGAAGCGCTCGTAAACTAAAAAAAAAAATTAAAAAAGGGAACAGAAGCGCACATAAAATCCTCCCTCAAAAAAGAGGGGGTGGAGGTGGAGGTGGAGGTGGAGGTGGAGGTGGTGGAGTGAGGAGGAGGAGGAGGGAGGGAGTGAGGAGGAGGAGGAGGGAGGGAGGGAGGGAGGAGGAGGAGGAGGAGGAGTTTTGTTTTGTTGTGGTTGGTAGGCAAAGCAATGAAGAAAGTGTTTTTTCGGGAGAGTGGGGTGGCCCTGAAAAGGGCCGTTTGATCTTGAAGATTACCTCCTCACCCACATAGGCGCTGTGCTACAAAGGCATGGATGGACTGTCATCTGTCTTCTGACAGGACACTTACTGGTGTGGCTTAAACGCCTCATGTAAGTGTCCTTCAGGGCGGTGTGACACTACATGCACTGAAACGTCCCATCACGTACCTTAGTATGAACTGTCCCATCACATGCCGTAGTGCCAAGAGCGTAGACTGGAAGACAGCCTTTGCACATGGATTGGTCCATTTCGGCTCCTGACCTGAGCCCTGATTTTCCAAACCGACCCGACTCTTGTGTTTCTTTTCCATAGGAACAGGCCTGTTCCATTGGAGAGAAAGCACAACTTGGCTGGGGTGCTCTCTTCTGATTGGTCGATGCTCTCTTCTGATTGGTCGAAAACCCAAGTTTCTGATTGGCCAGATTTTCAATCCTGTTTGGGGGAAGGCTTGTCTATAAATCAAGAAAAGCAGACATTCATCAGGCACTCATGGGCATCATGACTGACAAGCAGAATGAACCGTGTCACTTGGAGAAGATAGAGGTGTCTCGAGCCAGACGGTTAAGAACCTCTAACTATATTTATCGTTTGACATTGAACCAAGCCTACTTGGAAGACGTTCCATCACACCACCTGTCCACAGAACTGCAACGTTTATTTGACAGCGTGATCAAGGACTTCTACCAACAGGTGTCAGGCCAGAAGGGTGATCGTATTGGTCTTTGTATCTGTCACCCCGCTTTGGACTCCCCCATACGGATTCTATTTCGCCGCTTTGAAGATCTCCATGGCCAAGATATCTTGTATGCTGTGGAAAAAGTCCAGCAGTCCAACAAAGACCTTGTCATCGATGACACCATGGATGTGAAATTATTACATGTAGCAGATCCCGACGGGCTAGGATCAGGCAGTGGGCGTCTGAATAGCGTGGTTGGACTGGAAGCATTTTTAGAATGCAAAAAGTGCATTATACGGATCAAGAACAAAGATTGATCCTGTTTGGCAAGGGCCATTGTGGTGGCACAGCATTATGCGCAGAAGACCGACCCCCCGACCCAAGAATGGTCAAGGCAGAGATGGAGACTGATGAGAACGGGGTGAGCGGATGTTCAAGGAAAACTGGCACAGACATTGTTTCGGCACCTTGGCATCCCTGAAAGCCGTCGTCAGGGCCTGGAAACCCTAGAACGTGTGGGACGTGCCTTGGCCCAAAGGAACTATCAGCTGAAAGTCTACAGTCAAGATATGTTCAACAGGCTGTTGTACAAGAGTGATGAGACTCCACCCGGCGCCACCGTGTTGCATTTATACCATCATCATAACCACTTTGATGTGATCACTACCAGGCCAGCCTTTTATGGGACTAACCATTACTGTGAGCACTGCGACCGTGGTTATGACCATCCCGAAAGACACCCCTGCACCAAGCAATACCGCTGCCATGCATGCCACCACCCCACACCTTGTGAACCCAAGGAAGATCATGGTATGTCTTGCTTGTTGCCATGTCCAGTCACCCCCAGAGGGAGGACCCAGTGCCTGTCAAGCGATTCACAGGTGTCTGACCTGTTTTCAGCGTGTTCATGTCTTGGTGACACCCATGGCCCAACACGAGTGCTCAGAAGACCGCCCATCATGTCAAGACTGTCAAGAAACTGTGACCCCAGAGCATCGATGCTATGTCACACCCCTCCATGAAGCCTGTGATGATGTGGTGCATTTAGGATGTTGTCGGTGCATGAGTCAAGCGACAAGCGAGTTGTGCGAAGACTGTCCATGGAGGCAAGAAGGTGAAGGTCCAAGTTGAGTGTCAGTGTTTCAAGGTCCCACCACGCTAGACGATGTGCGTGCATGGCTGATGACCCTGGCCGAAAAACCCAAGAAGACACACCCTAAGGAGGATGAAGCACGGAGGATGGGGCAGCAGCAGCAGCACACCCTTCCATGGAGGTGGACACACCCGCCCTGCTTGAGGAGGAGTAGGTGGAAACACTTGCCCTGCCGCCTGATGAGGACATCATGAGTTAATGCACCCAAGACCCCATGGAACGTGCAACTCGACCTGCAAAGTGCGCAGTTTCACCTTGAATTACAGAGCCCATCAACACCTCAACATTGACATCATGAAGGGGATGACATCATCCCGGTGCATCACCCTCATCAGATCATCCGTGCAGGACTTCACCATGGGAACGATCTCCTGACCCAAGCCACCACAAAAGACTACTGCATCGTCTACACCAAGCGGCTCATCCTCTACAGTACATGCAGAGGTCTGCCTGTAGACACGGTCCCCTTTGGGTACAGAGACTAGACCATTTTTTTATGATGTTCCTAACATTGTGTTGACTGTTGGCGTTTTATCTGGAAGACAGGCGTGTTCGGAGAGAGTGCCATGCACTGGTCACTTCCATCCGTGAAGCCATGGAAGAAAACAACAGACCGAAAGTGGATTGACATGCACACCCGAGGGAAAAATCAGGATCGAAATCTGACCAATAAGAAGCTAGGGTTTTGGACCAATCAGAGGCCGCATTGCCCTGTACGGCCCTCTGATTGGTTGAACAGCAGTTGTGCTGTCTCTTCCATGGAAAAGGCCTGTTCCTATGGAAAAGAAACACAACGTCTGTGCCAAACTTGGTGGCGTGTGGGACAGAAACCAACCAATGAGAAGGACAGGTTTTCGTCCAATCAGGAAGCAGGGTTTTAGTGCCTTAAAACCCACAGACGCTCTCTTGTCATCACTTTTCCTACCGCTGTCCAAGAAACAACATTCTCCCTCCTATTGATGCTCTTAATGTTGTGTTGAGTGTTGGCGTTTTATCTGGAAGAAATGCGTGTTTGACTCAAATCCGTGAAGACCTGGAAGAAACAACGGACAGAAAAGTGTATCGGCAACATCATGTCCAAACTTATGAATGCCAAGACACGGAGCGACATGGGTGGTAAAGGGAGTGGTGAAGTGTACGACGTGATGTGTGGGAAGATAAGGACTGACGACGTGTACGCCAAGTTACGTGCAAAGACCGACGAAGTGATGTGCGACATGATACGTTCGAAGAAGAAGATAAAGAAGACCCAGAAAAAAACCAAGCAAACCAGCAGCAACAACAACAACAACAACAACAACAACAACAACAACAACAGCAACAGCAGCAGCAGCAGCAGCAGACAGCTAAACGAAAGTTACAGAATTTTTGAACCTGCTACACCTACAAAAAGGCGACCATGGAAGAAGTTGTCTCTGAAGATCCCTCATCAAGAACAACTGTAAGTACCACCCTATTCTTTGGGATGAGTATGCCATTATTATCATGAGTATCACGAATGTATGACTATGATCATGGGTATACTTAAGGGTTCTTTACTTGTAGGATTGACAGGACACCCATCCTTCCTTCCCCCGATGACAGTTCAACGTAGACCGTGTTGGAACAGTGGTGGGAACAAACTCCTCGGAAACCAACCTATTCGCCTAATCCGCCTGTGATGATGATCAGTGATGATGATAATGAAGCACACAAGTTGGCAGCACTCCCTTCCATGGAGCTGGACACACCCACCCTGCTTGATGCTTCTTGGTCACCATCATCACCGGAGGATGTTTTCTCCTCAGGTATGCCAGTGGTTCGCGACGACGACAACGACGACGATCCTTATGGAGAAGCTCAATTCACTTCAATACAACGTGAATGTAGTGTCTTACGCCATAACAACATGTTGAAATACATTCGCTGCAACAGTGTTCAAGTGATGTGTCATGTCTGTTTCAGGGAGGCCATAGACTGTACCTGTTTTACTGAGGGGTCCCTAACATTGTTGGGACCTGTTTGGGACAGTATGATGAAGGATCATATCTTATGGTGACCCCATCTTCACTTGAAGAGCTTGAAGATGGAAGATGGAAGATGAAAGGTTTTCGCGTTCTTTGAGCGACATGTGAAACACTCCCTCCTCAGTTGTCTTTCGTATTTCCTATGTATCTGGGTTGATGTTGTTGTTGTTCATTATTAAACAGTGATGGTCTGAACTGACTCTTTGTCTCTTGATTTATCTCCAATAGGGTGCCAAACCGAGGGTAGAGGCTGAGTTGAGATGTTGTCAACGCTGTCTGTCTGTCATGTCTGTGCACATTCTCGTTGTAAAAAAGTAAAGAAAAAAAAATATAAAAGAGAAAGGCCATGTTTGAAAGATCAGTTGCCTTGTGTCAGTCACCAAGAACACACGATAGAGTCTTATTTCATCGTCAGTGACATGAAAGACGTCATGGAGTCCACATCGTGTTAAGACTTTGGTAAGACATTTTCTAGAAGAGATGCCTTGCTTCGTCATAAAAAACACGTCCATGGCTTATCACCAAAACCATCACCTATGAGACCAGTGACATTAAAACCATCGCCGCCGGTCACCCAGAACACAGGATGGCGTCACGTGGTGGTGATGATGATGATGATGATGATGATGATGAAGATGATGATGAAGAGGTCATGACCTCACCTTTGACCCTACGCCACCCTTTTACGATGTTCATTGCTGGACCCACAGGATCAGGAAAAAGTTCCTTTATGAAATCATGTATGGAGCAGATGCATCGCCCCGAGGTGTTGGATTCACCACCCCATCGCATCGTGTGGGTGTACAGCAAATGGCAACCGTTTCATCATGAGTTGGAAGAGATGGCAGACCGCTTAGGAGTCACTCTTGAGTTTGTGCATAGCATGAAAGAAGCGGGTCGTGCCTTGCCAGAAAAAGGGGTGGCCCCGCATTGGCTCGTCATCGATGATTTGCTGGGTGACAATACAAAAGAAGAAGAAACGGAAGTGTTGTGATGGTTCACCGAGAAAAGTCATCACGGAAACACATCCGTGCTGTATCTCACTCAGAACTTGTTTGCCCAATCACCACAACATCGCACCATTAGTCTGAATGCTCACTACATGGTGCTCTTTAAAAATCCGAGAGATGCATTCAGATCGACAGTCTGGCTCGCCAGGTGTTTCGAGGCAAAGTTCTTTTTCTGCGTGTAGCCTATGAAGACGCCACCAAAGAACCTTACACTTACCTGTTCTTGGACTTGAAACCCACCACGTTGCAAGACCATCGAGTATGTGCCCGCCTGTTTCCAAGATCCGAGATGCCAATCGTGTATGTGCCGATCCTATGAGATGAAGAGAGACTTCATAAAAGCATGCAAACCTGGACCTTCCTTCAGTGGAGCCACAGCCATCATGGGGCAAAGATCCCAAGATGTCCCCGATACCGAGTGGGTGTCTGAAAAGGTGAGAGAACAAGGGAGAAAACACACACTCTTTATGCACGACACATGGCAACTCGATGACATTCTGGAGGCACGACCTTCTCCTTCTTACACCTTGAGGCATCCTTCTCATCCTGGCTATGATTCATTTCAACAACGTCTGAGGTCTTTTCAAACGTGGCCTAAACAGATGGGGCAGACCCCTTATGACATAGTCATGGCTTGTTTGGAAAACCGAGGCTCAGACCAGGCCCCGGAACGGACCTATCAGCGTGCTGCATTTTCGACCAATCAGGAAGCAGGGTTTCAGTGCCTCTCTTATTAAAAAAGAGAGCGAAGCCACGCACACCGTCACAGTCCTAGCACTGAATGAGAGATCAACACTGTCGTCCCAATACAACTGTATGAAGTGCCAGACCGACAGTCACAGTTACCTGTACTGCCCTGAAGTGACATGTACCGAGTGCCACACTCAAGGTCACCGTCACTATGTCTGTACGAAGACGAAGATAAGCAGTCAAGATAAGCAGAAGACTCCCCAGGGCCCATGCTACAACTGCCAAGCCGTGGGCCATTTCGCTGCAGATTGCCCAGAACCCAGTCGAAAAGAAGACTCCAGCAGCACCGACCATGTCGACACAAGTGACACAAGTGCTCCATCTCATAGAAGACATGCATATCGATGTCCGTGCCCCGCCTAGGCAAAAGAAAACATGACAGAAGCCCCTCAAGAAAGCTCCCTTTAAAGCGCCAATGACGTCATCAGTCCGAGGAGGAGGAGGAAGAAGATATATCACCTGAGCAAAGTGACTAACGCATGGCACATGCTGCTCAACTGTTTTTCCAGTTTCCAATAGTTTCCAGTTTTCCGTGAGAAAAGACTTGCTGGACCACACCACATTGTTAGACAAGGGACAACCCGGAAATGCCTCACTACAGGGACGAGGTGAGAAACCACTTCTAATTCCTGACTTTGTATCTAAGCCCAGGTCATCAATGACCAGCAAAGAGACGCCTATAGTAGGTGATGGGTCAGCACAGCTGTATCTGAGGTCGTCCAGGGGGAAACCCCTTCCAGAACATGTGCCATTGTCACAGTGGGTTTCAGCCAATGTCCGCATTTTGTCAAAATTGATCGCCCACAGGAAAGCAGGTATTGATGAAATTATCATGGAACTGTTCTGGGTGAACAATACCTTCCAAATGGCGTGCTGGTTTTCTTGGGGAATTAGTCAGCAAAGAGCCGGAGTCACATGAGACTAATCACAATTTTATTTACAAGAACAATTAACAATTTACAATATACTTAGAAAATAACTGAGGGTGCCACAGAGAGATTTGGAATAGATGCCGATGGGGTAGGGGAGGAGAACTAAGGGAGCTGGGTATGGTGGATGTTTGCGTGTTTATGTAATTTTGATTTGGTGGATTATAGTGTTTTTAGATGCGTTTTATTAGTTCCGTTTTGATTAAGAATACGCCTAAGGCCTTGAAGTTTTCTAGTTTATTTTGTGGGTTTAGTATTGCTTCTAGAGTGAGAGCCTTGTTTAGATTGAGGGTGGTTTGTAATGCGGTTCGATGTGTTAGGTAGTGTGTGCAGTAGATGAGTGCGTGTTTTGGGGTTTCTAGTTGTTTGCAGTGTGGGCAGTTACCTGTAGTATGTTTTTTTATTTTTTTTAGGTGGTTATTTAGGTTGGTGTGTCCTGTTTGGAGTTTAGTGATTACTCTGTCGATTTTTTTTGATGGATGGTGAATTTTTGGTTTGGTTAGTGGTTTGCTGAGTACTTTTTTGATTTGGCTATTTGAGTTTAGATATAGGTTATGACATTTTTTGGTGATTTTTTGCTTATTTACACTTTTAATTTCTGATTTTGAGATGGGTAAGTTTAAGCTTATTTCTGGGATTTTGAGGGATAGTTTAGCTGCCTTATCGGCTTTTTCATTACCGTATATTCCTACGTGGGCGGGTATCCACAAGAAGGTTATTTGTTTGCCTGCGTTAGTTAGGTCGTTGGAGCTTTTAAGTATTAGATTTATTAATTTAGGTCGGTTTTTGGTATTTTTGTTTTGGAGGGCTTGTAGTCCACTTAGGGAGTCGGTAAGTATTAGGATTTTATTGTGGTTTTTGGATTCTTGACTATGGAGGGCTGAGGCCATGCCCATTAGTTCTGCCGTGAATATTGATTGGTTGTTTGGGAGTCGGAAGGATTGTGTGGTTTTAGTTGGTTGTGTGGTATGGACTCCGAAACCTGTGTGTTTGGAGGTCGGATCTGAAGATCCGTCCGTGTAAATGTGACACCAATTTGGCCAATTTTCGTGTATGTATGCTAGTGTGGTGGTTTTAGCTATGTTTGGGTCGGTTTGTTTATTTATTTGGCTAGCTAGTGTTGTGTCTATTTTGGGTATTTTAAGTTTAGGGGTAAAGATATTTGATTGTTTGGAGTTTTGTTTAAGATTTTTAATTTGGTGTTCATTTAGGTAGTTTGTTATTCTTTGGGATATTGGGGTAAGTAAGGGGTGTTTACGAGCTAGAGCTTGGTTTTTGGGGCTGATATTTTGGTTTATTAAGTTTTGGATCAGAGGGTTTGATTGGGATGCGGCCCAGAAATTTAAGCTTAGCTGTTCCCTGCGTAGATTTAGTGGCATTTCTCCTGTTAAGGCCTGAAGTGAAGTGTAGGAGGTGCCATGTTGGGTGCGTGTAATTAGTTTGAGAGCCTGATATTGTATTGAGTCAAGTTTTTTAGATAGAGAGTTGTTTAGGGTGTTGTATATGGCGCAGCCGTGGTCTAGTTTTGATCTAATTAGTGATATGTAGAGTGAGAGGAGGGTATCTTTGGAGGCTCCCCAGTTTGAGCCAGTGGGGCATCTTAGGGTGTTTAGGTCTTTACTGCATTTAGTTGTTAGGTTTTGGATGTGAGCATCCCAGGTGAGATGTTCATCGAAAATAAGTCCTAAGAATTTGGTTTGTTTTTGAAATTTGATTGTTTGGTTGTTTAGCTGGAGGATTGGGGAGGCGGGTTTCATGTTTTTATGTTTGAATACTATTCCTGTTGTTTTTTCTGAGTTAAGGGAGAAGCCCCATTTGTCAGCCCATTGTTGTATTTTATTAAGAGATTTTTGGAGTAAATTTTGGGCCATATTAATGCTTTTTGTGCGGATCCAGAGGGCTCCATCATCCGCGAATTTGGATGTGTTTATTTTAGGGGATAGGCCCTCGAAGAGATCGTTTATCATTATATTAAAGAGTGTGGGGCTGAGGATACTGCCCTGGGGAGTGCCATTTTCTAGGGGACACTGGTCCGATAGAGTATGGTCTATCCCCACTGTTATTTTACGTTCGTTTAGAAAGTCCTGAATGTAGTTTATTATTTGTCCTTTTAGTCCTATTTTTTAAGTTTTTGTATTAGCCCGTTGTGCCAAACCATGTCGAATGCTTTGGAGAAATCCAGAAAGATGCCTGTTGTGTATTGTTTGTTGAGTTGTCCTGTCTTGATGTCCTGTTCTAGTCGGGCGAGATTATCTAAGGTTGAGCGGCCAGGAGTGAAACCGCTTTGATCTGTGTTTATGATGTTATTTTGAGTTAAGTAATGTTGTAGTCTATTTTTGGCCATAGATTCCATTACTTTACATAGGTTTGAGGTTAGGGATATTGGTCTATAAGAATTTGCCTTACTGACTGACTGACTGTTGCAGTTTGTACTCCAAGCGAGCAACACCTCTCCAAGCCTCCAGAGCCTCCTCAAGCCCATGCACAGCACCGCTGATAGCAAGCCCAGGGAGTCTGACTGACTGATATAGAAGATTTAACGTGCGCTTTCCGACTGCAGCGTATTTCGCACACGGGCCTGGCCAGACCATTTAGTGTATTCCGAGAAGGGTGAAAGTGGTGTGTGCAACACAAGAGGGGGCTTTTAGGGGTTGCTTATATCGATTTTTTTGAAATTCTAAAATTTGGAATAAATGCCGAGGTGGGTGGAGGAGGGAACTAAGGGAGCCGGGTGAGGTGGGTGTTTGTATGTTTATTGGATTTTGGATTGGTAGATTAATTAGTTTTTAGATGCGCTTAATTAGGCCTGTTTTGATTAGGAATACGCCTAGGGCCTTGAAGTTTTCTAGTTTATTTTGAGGGTTTAGTATTTCATCTAGAGTAGGAACCTTATTTAGATTGAGGTTGGTTTGTAGTGTGGTTCTGTGTGTTTGGTAGTGGGTGCAGTGGATGAGTGCGTGTTCTGTGGTTTCGGGTTGTTTGCAGTGGGGGCAGTTGCCCGTGGTGTGTCTTTTAAGTTGTTTTAGGTGGTTATTTAGGTTCGTGTGTCCTGTTTGGAGTTTTGTAATTAATCTGTCAATTTTTTTAGAGGGGTGTAGGATTTTAGGTTTGGCTAGTGGTTTTCTGAGCACTTTTTTGATTTGGCTATTTGAGTTTTGATATTGATTATGCCATTTTTTGGTTATTTTTTGTTTGTTTACACTTTTAATTTCTGATTTTGAGTTGGGTAGGTTTAGGCTTATTTCTGGTATTTTGAGAGATAATTTAGCTGCTTTATCGGCGTTTTCGTTGCCGTAAATTCCTACGTGGGCGGGGATCCACAAGAAGGTTATTTGTTTGCCTGCTTTTGTTAGGTCGTTGGAGCTTTTAAGTATTTGGTTTATTAATTTAGGTCGTTTTTTGGTATTTTTGTTTTGGAGGGCTTGTAGCCCACTAAGCGAGTCAGTGAGAATTAGGATTTTTTTGTTGTTTTTTGATTGTTGGTTATGCAGGGCTGAGGCCATGCCCATAAGTTCAGCCGTGAATATAGATTGGTTGTTAGGGAGTCGGTAAGATTGTGTGGATATAACTGTTTGTGTGGTATGGACTCCGAAACCTGTGTGGTTGGAGATCGGGTCTGAAGATCCGTCAGTGTATATGTGACACCAATTTGGCCAATTTTCGTGTATGTAAGAAAGTGTGGTGGTTTTAGCTATGTTTGGGTCGGTTTGTTTATTTATTTGGTTAGTTAGCGTTGTGTCTATTTGGGGTATTTTG